CATGTAATGAAGCAACTAGTTAACCAGCCATTTCGATGTTATTGTGACCAATGGAATATTTTTGGCTTCCTTAAACACACATATATACATATGTAAATATTAAAGGAGTAATGTGCACAGGGCGGTTATGTATTTATGAAAAATCGGTGAAATATGCTTTTTAAATTTACAAAAAAAAACAATTTATGAAATACATATGTACGAAAAATATTACAACAAATTTCGAAACATTTGTGTGTTTAAAATTAATATTCTAGATTTGTTTTCTGGTCGAATTTCTTTAACACAAAAAATTCATCTCACATGGTTAAAATATTTACAAAATGTATGCACTTTTCTAAACAAAAATATGTAAAGATTTCAAATAATATCGGAAATATTTATAAAACCTACAATGTGTAAAAAAATATTTTGAACAATTTGCCATCTATGCGAGTTAAAAAACACCTGTTTAACCGTTGGTCGTCGTCGAATGAAAAAGCTGAAAATAAATACATAACCGTCCTCTGAATATGTAAAATAATCCTATCCTTATACATACTGTGATGTTAAGGTGAATGTTAATTCTACATGTAATACAATTACATACTTATTTATTACATATTCATCCAAGACAAGATCAACTTTGGAGTTGACAATCATCTGTGTGGGCGGAAGTTTGTCTATGATAACGTCGGAATCTCATTAATATGTCGTGGATAAATTCATAGGTAACGTTACGTAATTCAGCTTCCATTGGTCGAAATTTCACACAAAAAAATTTTAACCTCTACTAAATAAGTAAATTGACTAAACTTTAAATTTGTATTAAAATTTTTGGTTTGTTATAAAAAATTGAATTAATATGTACATATGTATCCCCAAAGGTCTTCCAAGATATAGATGTGAACCGACCAATCAATCAATCAATCAATAACCAATAAATCAAAGTATGTATGTTTGTATTATTGACATAAAATTGTGAATGAATGAATGAAAAAGCTTGTAAAATTTACCCGTTCGTTCATTTCGTGATTTTTTTGATACACAAGAAAACTGATAAGTACGTATGAGAAGCGCTTCATTTTGTTTACCACGCCAGACAACTTGGGAACGAACGACACCCTGCATTTTAGTCATGATAAGCAGAGAACGGGTATGTATTTACGAAGAAACTCGCTAAAATATGTTTTTAATATGTACATATGAACAAAATCATAAAATAACAATTTTCGAAAAATTTGTAGTTATAAATTTAATTTTTTGCTGTTGATTTTTTTAGCAAAAAAATTCATCTCATTGATGAAATATTTCCAAAATTAATGTATTTTTGAAAAAAATATCTAGAATATTTACGTATTTTTCAAATAATAGCGGATATATTGGAAACCTAGAAATTTGTGACAATATGTATATGAAAATATTTTGGAATTTTTGTGATCTACTCGAGCTAAGGAGCACGACCCACAAAGTTTGATTCACGGTGGTCATAAAATGAAAATAAATACATATCCGCCCTCTGCTCATTCATGATAAGCCAGCAGACTGCGTGGCTTGGTCGATGATGAAGTTTACATATAAAAAAATGAAGAAAGAGCAATAAAGGAGTGGGAGACATTATTAACTTATAAATCGATCTGTACACATTTTTTTACTTTGCAATACAATAATTTCCACATGTTATTTCATTATTGAGTTATATACAAAGCTTGTAATAAAAATAATTGAGTCGATTAAATTCCAATGGAAAAAATGGAGCACGAAAAATATTCCATGATTTGTGTATGTATCTAGCTCTCATGATTTTCAATCCTGTGACCCGATTAAGAAGAGGAGATCCAATTTCAATCCATGTTTGTTTTCCCGTTCTGAATTAATAAGATAGTTTTGTTATTACTGTAATAAAAAGTCACGTATTAAAGAATTCACGGAGTCCTTCGTAACTTTGTAAACTCCGTAAACCTACAAACTTTTGCAATGATTTCTAACGAAATCAAGATTAAGTTACACTTTTTTGTAGATTTACTCATCATCTTTCAATTTTGTAAAAGTTTGTAAAATAATTTTACACAATTTACAAAGTTAACAAAGTTACTAATGACTGCGTGAATTGCCTCATACATGTATGCAAATACCTTAAAACGTGTTAAAACCTCCGGCAAAAAAAGCCATCGTAACATTTCTTCACTGGAATTTAATATCCAGAAATAATCGTAACATAAGAAAAACTTTGGCACATTTGCAATTTTAATTTTAACAATTTGCACATGGGCGTGCAAGTGCTAATTTTTCGTATGTATGTAATGTCTACGAATTATTATTTGTTAATAAAACAGTGCTAATTTAGTTGTCAGTCCCTTTTAATAACTATGTATGTAGCTGTCTGTCAGTTAATAATCACACGTAATCAAACAAGCAGGACACAAATTGTTGGTTAAAATTATTTTCAAGGTTGTTATTACTTTCCTTCCATAATAATTTCGCACTCTTCTTCGCACATCACATCTTATTTTTTTTTCAAATTTACAAATCCTACAAATTTCCCATGAAATTTAAGGTGGAATAACTCCGTGATAGATTTTAAATCTTCCACCCAAATTCATTGTCTTTAAATGCAAATTTCTAAAGTTGCATCAATTTCACGAGATAAATCCAACTTTTGGGTAGATGTATTAGTTATAAAAATTTTGTAAAATTGAAAAATTTCATATTTTTTTTTACTTTGAAATATGGAAATTTGAAATATGATTCGACAATAGTAGTTGGCATTTTTCGAGAATCTTGGTGACGTAACCTGCACTAATCAAAAATCCAATTGTCGCGAAATTCAAATTGCATACTTTAATGTAAAGTAAATTTCTGGCGGAATAAAACTATCGAATAAAGAAAGTTAACAAATAGCAAACTCATTTTTGAGGAAATTAATTTTGTGAAAACAATGACAAATAAGATAGAAATGTTTTCCAAATCGATACTTTCATAGCACCAAAAATTAAGTTTACATTACCATATGAAAAGTTGCATTTATTTCAAAACTCGTGAAATTGATGCCATTTTAGAAATTTGCATTTAAAGAAATAGAATCGGGGTAGAGTGAGATTAAAAATCTATGACGCACCAACATGTCACCTTAAGGAACACTCAGGCAATTAAATTCACTCTAAAATTTCGGTCTAATTTGAATTTCTGATTCACGAAATTCTAAGATTCTTTGTAACACAATTGAAACATTTTTTTCTTTTAACGTCGCCTAACTTGCACTAATTTTTGAAAATTAGTCAAAATATTTAAATCACGAGTGAAATTCATTCTAAATTATAGATTTTTTTTCTAATTGGTGGAATTACTATGTAAACTTTTTGTAACACAATCTGAACATTATTTTCATCTAACGTCGCCTAACTTACACATATTTTTGAAAATTGATCAAAGTAATTAAATCGTCATCCTATTCCACCTTAACGCAAAAAATTCCCCCTACTAAATACCCCCACCACCATCCCGCCTCCCTCACACCTCCCCCACCCCCACCATGACCCCTCCGACAAACAAAATCCTCACACCGTGCCCCCCTCCCAAGTCCGTCGACACACTCCTCCTCACTTTCACACGGGTCTCCGAACCCCTTCTTAAAAATACACAGGCCCTCCCTCTCCGAAAACGTTAACCCGTCCGTCCCATTTGAACCCGGGTCGTAACACTCACACCGAAATGGGTAGCGTCCTTTCCAACACCGCGACAAGAGGCCGAGTCCTGCGATTACACGAAATAAAATACTCCTCCCTAGTTCACGCCACAAAAACTCAATAAGTGTGCAAATTTCGTAATCTAAATTTTCGAGAAATGTCGACTACTATTTCATTAAAATTTCCATAAAGTAAAAACATGAAATTTTTCGATCTTACAAAATTTTTATAGAAAAACTACAGCAAAAAATGTCACCACCTACTATTTCTAAATCATATTTCAAATTTCCATCAAGTAAAAACATGAAATTTTTCAATTTTACAAAATTTTTGTAAAAAACTACAGCAAAATCTCGCCAAATTCAATAATGAAACGTTTAGGAGCACAGACCCCAAACAGTTTTGCCCCAGTTTTATACAAAATTTTGTATAAAATCGACAAACTTCATGTTTTTACCGTATGGAAATATAAAATATGATGCAAAATTGGTACATGTCACATTTTTATATAACTTGGTGACGAAATTTGCACACTTATTGCTGAACTAGGGAGGAGTATGTCCGTCAATTTATGTATGTATTTGGCCTGCCTGCGACACATTGTTCGTCATGTTTACAAGGCGACGACGTCCCCTTCGTCGCGATGGGGAGGCATTCCTCCCTTAAAAAGCCTAATTGTTTAAGTGCCACGTGGTAAGGGCGACACTGGCAGCCGTACTGGAGCGAACACTCCACCGCACCCCCGATTATTATTTGACACGTCTCCGTTCGGTTGCAATACGTCGAGATGAGCGAGGGGGACGAGAATGATTGAGCCGTGTCGAGCAGGGTCAATAATAGAGTTGTGAAAATTGCAGGGAAATTTCGCATTTTTGTGAAGTCACGTGTTGCAAAATTATTCTTTTTTTCTGCCAAACTTCAACTAAAATTTTGATTATTTTTGCGGTCAAATCAAGTTTTCAGGATTAAAATGTGTTGATTTTTATTGTGTGGTTCTTTATAAAATTTGTTTCTGGTTAAACCTATTTCCAGATTTTCGACAAAATTGGTTATTTTGTAAAAAAAATTGAGATAAAAAGCATCCCAATTTTTACTGCGATATGGTTTGTAATATTGTATGCAAATCCTTGACATATGTTTTTTTCCCTCAGTTTCTCTCTTTTTTATCAGAAAATTGACTGAAAATGTATCACCCACACTACCTATCGATTGATAAGATAAATGAGGATAAACGACCCCAATAAGTAATCACGATATTCTCCATCCTCTCAATAATCATGCATAATGCAAAATAATAAAAAAACAATAACCTCATGCACAAATTTTCTTCACAAATTTTTGTATTATTATTTCTCCAAACAAAACTAATTATTTCAAATCAATAGATGAACAAGAAAATTAAATTATTTAAATTAAATTTAAAATATTAAAACAATGATTTTTTCCCATCTTTAAAATTACCTACACTAATTAGCTCGGGACACGTGATTACATGACTATTACACATTTTTGGCTGTAGCTCTAAATACCTCCGTGCAAAAAATAATTGCACCCACACACATAGATAATTCGCACAATTATACATACATACACCAACTCTTCGCAATCATTTAAATAATAAAAATAATTGCACATACATATTTAATTTGCACAATTAAACTCTCCACAATCATTTAAATAATGGTAACAACAACAATAAAACAACAAGCTAACTCCCCTTACGCCACAACCTTAACCGCCACCAACCCGACTAACAATAAGGCCACCGACCCCCCCAAAAAAGCCCCCTTCCCCTCCACATTTTCACACGTTTTCCCATCCGCGCAGAGACACGCGCGCTGCCTCACGTCGCACCTGACATCCTCCTCCGGTCTGATGGACGCTTTACACTCCTCATTCAGGTCACACCGGTCCCCCAGCGCTTTTCTGTAGTAGCACGTGTGCACCCCGTGCGCCGTCGAGTTCTTCCCGTGCCCCACCGTGTCGTAGCATTCGCAGTGGTGTGTGTCCTCATTACAGCGCGACAAGTTTCCGAGCGGCCCCATGGCGCACTGCGCGTTGATTTTGCACTCCGTCGTCAAGTCCAAAATGACGGGGAGGCATTTATCAAAATCCTCCAAGAAGCCTTTCTGACACTGGCAAAAGATCCCGTTCCGACAATCCGAATCGGGGAATTTGTCGGTGCATTGTTGATTTCGTTGGCAAGGCATGGACATGATGGGACTGGGGAGGGCGTGACCAAAGCCGTTTTGGGGTGAGCTTTCGACAGTGGTGAGGACGAAGCAGGTGAGAAAGAGGAGGGCGAGGGAGGAATATTTCCACATTTTTGGGCTAAATTTCCGTACCAGAAAATTGGTTAAATTCCGAAAAAATTGGGTACCACTAGAGGAGGACATGACGACTCATTGCCAAAATGGTCAAAATCCACACATTTTTAATGATTTCTGATCCCCTCTGGGAATTTATGTTAAAATTCTGGTCAGACAAATTTGTAGAGCAGGGAGTTCTTCAATTTTTAAAAATGTACACTCCAAATTTTGTCACTTTTTGAAGGAGGAGATCTCAAGTTTAAGAAGCCTTCAGAAAAATTGGAACGCGTCGAAATTGGTTCAAAAATCTCAGCGCCATTCCATTAATTAACTCGCTGACTACAAATTTGTCGTCCAGAATTTTAAAATAGTTCCCAGAGGAGAGAAATGATTGAAAATATTGATTTTGGAAAATTGATTTTACAATTTTGTGAATTTTTGAGCCAGTTTCGATGAGTTCCAATTTTTCTGAAAGCTTCTTAAACTCCTCCTTCAAAAAGTGTCAAACTCGGGAGTGTACATTTCTTAAACTTGGGAACTATCTACTCCACAAATTTGTCGTTCAGAATTTTAAAATAAATTCCCAGCGCAGAGAAAAATCCTTAAAAACGTGTCAATTTCGACTTTTTTGGCGATGATACACACGTTAAAACGTGTCCTCACATACCCAAATATGTAACTCGATCAATGAATGAAATGGTGAATACCTTTTAGAATCTTGTGTTTCCTTTGGCGTGGGTGTAAATAAAAACGAATCTGTGTTAAGAGTTCCTCCTTCTCAGCTCCACACACCTGACTAAACTTGTTAAGTTGAAGGAATATCTAAAAGTGAGATCGTTTCGCGATTCGCACTGCGAGTTATATTTGCACAAGGACGAGAAGAAGAAGAAAATTGTGATGTGGGCATTATTTTCGCATATACATAGCGTCACCTTCTTAGCCAGCCATAAGTACACACATAAATATTACGTGGTTTCTTTCGTCTAATGCTAATATGTAAGCTATTGTTTGTTTGTGACTTTATGAAGTTACTCATCGTGTAGGAACGTACTGTAGACATACTAAATTTCGAATTATGACGGCATATGTATTGCGGTTTGGGCGTGAGGCATGCATCAGTGAGTCAAGTGGAGGTATAATATTCTTAACTTTGCTTTGCTCCATTGTTTTTCTTACCTCATGAAATTTTAGGCATTGCGAAAATAAGGTGATGACTAATAATGGGCAGAGGGCGGATATGGATTTATATTCAGATTTAACATGGCCCACGGTCAAAATTTGTCCGTGTGGTCTTTAACACTTGTAAAATTCGAAATATTTGGTACACATTTCCGAGTTTTCAGAAATATTTGTAAATATTTCTGATATTATTTGAGAAATAAGTAAATCTTTTACATATTTTATAAAAATTTATATATTTTGCAAACATCTAGGTATTTCAGGATGTGAATTTCAACCATGTTTTTGCCCAATGAAATTGGACCTCAATAAATCCAGGGCAGGGTATTAAATTTAAAAATACGAATTGGCATTTTTATGTTTTCAATTTTTTTCGTGAATAAATATTCGCCCTCTGCTAATAAATGAGTGCATATTCTATCATGGCAAAAGATATAACAATTTGGTTACGTGGAATATTTCTCATGGGTGAGAAACACTGGAGAGGAAGATGAACTCAGAACCACATTTTATGCAATTATGACCTATGCATGCAGTCAATCAACAGGTAGCAATTCATTTCCAGGTAAAAATTTGCAAAACCTGACTTACAGGATTACATCACCTCACTCAACCAGTGAGAAATTAGCCAATTAATTCTATTCCATACTTCATTATTATATAATTTCAATTTCATTGTTTTCCCCAACTTGCGAATTTTGTCCCATGAATTTTCCCACATGTGCAAAATCTGAACTTGATATGGATTTTTGTAATAGAAATTAATTTGCGAAAAACTGCATAATGTATAGAAGGCAACGATTTTAAACGAGTTTACCGAATTCATAGTGGATTTAATTGAATAACAAACTTGCGAATTTTGTTCCATGTAATTTCTCACAAATGTAAAATCTGATAATGTACAAATGCAAATATTTTTGCGAAAACTTGCATCAAGGTTTTTAACCAAGTTTAGCTAATTTAATGGATTGGATTGTATTAAAACTGATCATAACAAACTTGCAAATTTTTGTTGAATGAATTTTCATTTAAAAACTAAAGTTGAACGGAAAGATTTTTCGCAAAAAAAATCTGCATCTTTAACAAGACCACGTTTTTCATCAAGTTTAGCGAATTAGGATTGTATGTAAATGCACCTTTGTCACCAAGCATTCACTTCCACTTGTTGCACTCCAATTCCAAATATGTCTCGTCTTCCTCTCTCTCTCTCTCTGTGAGGAAAGTTGTTGCCAATTCATACTGCCTATGCAAAATTACACATAATATGACACGCCTGAGTCACCTTGTTAACTTCCTACTGCTACATGCGCCACCACCACCACGAGGAATTGAATTGGCAAAAAATACCAACTGAACTGCTACATTCGCATCGCCTGCTGGGGTAAATCCCCAACAAATTTGCAAACTATTTACTACTACATCCGTCTCACTCCCCACTCAAAATTCCCCCAATTTCTTCCTCCCTTCTCCTACTACACATGACAAAGTCCATTCATTCATTATTTTGCACGTGTCCTGCGTCTTGAGATAAAACAGATCCTTCAGGTGGCATACATTTTTAATCTCTCCCTCTTATTCAATCTCTTTAAATAAATACGAATTTCTAAAATGCCATGAATTTCGCGAGTTTCGGGATAAATGCAACTTTTATACGATAATGTAAAGTCAATTTTTGGTAGTGTCAATTTTAAAAAAAATATAATTTCATTTTTGAGGAAATTTTTCTCGAAAAAATCGTAAATGGAGTACACTCTAAAAAACCCGGTAACTAATTTATTACCAGGCGGAGTATCTATGTGACTCTACCGCATGGTAATTAATTTGTTATTGAGTGGTAGAAACTTAGTTACCAACTGGTAATATTTTTAAATTTCGCGACCGGGGTTATTACCGGTTTGGTAACAAAATGTCTACCACTCAATAATAAATAAATTACCATGCGGTAGAGTCACATAGATACTCCGCCTGGTAATAACTTACTTACCGAGTTTCTTAGAGTGTAGCAATTCTTTTCATAATCGATAGTTTTGACGTGCAAAAACTTAACTTTGGTAAACTTTGCTGCCGCAGAATAATTCTGATAAATTTTTTAAACGTTGTTCGCAAATTTTACAGGTAGGTAGCAACAAGAACAAAGTTGAAAAAAAAATTCAGAACACAACGATGTTGGATGTGGTGTGCATACAATTTCTAAAATGACTTCAGTTTCGCGAGTTTTCAGATAAATGCAACTTTTTATACGATAATATAAACTCAATTTTTCGTACTTTCAATTTGACAAAAATTTAACTTACTTTTTCAGGAAATTTTATCGTAAATGAAGTAGCAATTCTTTTCATAATCGACAGTTTTGACGTGCCAAAAATTAACATGATCTTAAAGTATTTAAAGTGAATACTTTGGTAAACTTTGCTGCCACAGAATAATTTTTTGAAATTTTTTCAAAGTTTTTCACAAATTTTACAGGTAGATAGAGGGAAGATCAAAATTGAAAATTTTCTTATTTGGTGTGCACAAAATTTTACTATAACTCTTATTCAATGTCTTTGAATGCAAATTTCTAAAATGCCATCAATTTCGCGATTTTTCAGATAAATGCAACTTTTCATACGATAAAAAGTTAATTTTTGGTACTGTCAATTTAAAAAATAATAATTTCAATTTTTCAGGAAATTTATCTCGAAAAAATCGAAAATGAAGTAGCAATTCTTTTCAAAATCGATGGTTTTAATCTGCAAAAAATTAACTTGGTCTTGAGAATTTAAAGTGAAAGACTTTGGCAAACTTTGCTGCCAGAGAGTATTTTTTATGAAATTTTAAAAATGTTTTTCACAAGTTTTACAGGTAGATAGGGACACAGATACAAAATTGAAAACTTCTTAACTCTTAACATGACGATTTAGTGTGCATACATGTTTAATCAAACTTTAGCATAATCCAATATCTGTAAATGCAAATTTTTAAAATACTATCAATTTCGCGAGTTTTTAAATAAATGCAACTTTTCATACGATAAAATAAAGTAAATTTTTTATACTACAAAACTCGATTTTAAAAAAAGTGATGATTTCATTGCTCAGGAAATTTATCGTGAAAAAATGGCAAATGAAGTAGCAACTGTTTTTAAAAAAAATCGGTTGTTTCGACGGGCCAAATATTATTTTGATCTTAAAGTATTTAAAGTGAAAGACTTTGGTAAACTTTGCTGCCACAGAATAATTTTTGTAAATTTCTTTTAATGTTTTTCGCAAATTTTACAGATAGACAGCGACAGGAGTAAAATTGCAAATTTTCTTAACTCTTAATATGACGATTTGGTGTGTATGCATTTTAAATCTCACTCTACCATAATTCAATGTTTTTAAACGCAAATTTTTAAAATACCATCAATTTCACGAGTTTTTTTTAGATAAATGAAACTTTTCATACGATAAAGTCAATTTTTGACATACAAAACTATCCATTTAAAAAAAATTTGCAAACTCATTTATGAACAAAATTTACTTTTAACAACTGGCAAATGAAGTATTTTAAAATTTATTAACTTGATTTTCTTATTTATCCAGAATTTTCATCTTTGTATTTTAAAATCCTTCATATTCTTAAACCTTACTGTTTTATGTGTTATTTTATCTTCCAGAAATGCATACTAAATTTGCCACCTCATGAATGAGTCAGTCTTAAATTAGCATCAGTAACACAACCGTATGAAATATAATACTGGAAAATTTCGCGACTCTCTCAAATAACAACAAAGCCATTTTTATTTGTGTATAAATTTATATTTTGGCACCGTCTCGACTCTCCGCTTTATGTACTTTTAGTCCAAATGCCGGATATGTATTTACGAAAAAAAAAATCCCTGAAATATGTGTTTAATATTTGCGAAAATAAACGCCTAAATATTTACGAAATATAATCGAACAAAGTCCTAAAAATCAAAATTCACTCAAAATTTGTATTTTTAAAATTAATCCTCTAGATTTTTTGTGGCCTAATTTCTTTCAGAAAAAAATTATTGTCTTCAAACATCCTTGAAATATTTACAAAATTTATGAATTTCTGAAAAAAATATGTTTTTCATATAATCGGAAATATTTAGAAATATGTAACAGTATGCAAAAGTTTTTTTTGAAATTTTCGAGATTTATCCAAAGTTAAGGAATACTTTTGTGGATGTATCTATTTTAGTACATTCACAAAATTTGACCGTTGACAACAAAAAAAGTTACATATCCGCACTCTGCTCCTTCCATACATATGAAGATACGTTCCGTGTTTGGAAGTGCTAAATGCAAACAGATCTACGTGCAGTAAAACATAACCAAGTTCTTGGTACTAGAGAATACTGCCAAAATTATTACGACTTCATCCAGGATGACGGACAGGTGAACGTTAACCATCAAAATTAACCAACTGCCATCATCATCAGCTAAAACGCTCTGCAGAACAATATTTTGCCAATTGGTAAATATTTGCGAAAAACTGAGTCATTTCCAAGTGATAATTAACTCGTACAGAATGTCGACCTTGCTATTGTCATATTCCGATTTACATATGCCATATGAAACGACCGTCAAGGCTATAATCTTTAAAATGTCAATTATCCATATTTATGAATCTTTAAAATTTCCAAATAAGACAAATTTCTCATAAACTTTGCCAAATTTCTTATCTCCATTTCCGCATGTACAACACGCTTTATAATACTGTTCTCTAGGCTATATATTCTCAAAATAACAAAAAATTACTCATACTACTTATGCCATTTCGAAATAAAAAGAATTTCTCATAAATTTCCCCAAATTTCTTATCTTCAAAAACAAAATTGTGCATGGAATGCGCTCGTTATCTACGCCATTTCAAAATAAAATAAAATTTCTCAACTACAAATTTTGTAATGGCTATTTTCCCACTTTCCCCAAAAAATTACACTTTCAAAATATGCAATAAATTTCACCCTTTAATAAAGCAGCGATAAACCAATACAAAACTCATAAAATCATTAAAATCCGGCTGCCAATTCCCCAATTATGAATCTCTAAAAATTTCAGAATAAAACAGATTTCTCATCAATTTAACCAAATTGGTTACCTTCGTTTTCTCAAATTTAATTACATCACGAAAGCTGGGCATTTATCCTTAAAATAAAATTACTCATGCAGCTTGTGACATTTTAAAATAAATAAAAATTTCTTACACATAAATTTCCCAAAATTTTTTAATCGCTCTCAAACTTTCACTTCCAAAAAAATTACACTTTACACAAAATATGTAACAATCTACCATTTAATAAAGCGATAAACTAACAACATTCCCACGACCAAGGAATTGACCGATTTCAACGCTTCCACACCCCCTCCATCTCCCAGAGGGGCACATTTCTTCCCCTGGGGACACTGACAAGTCAGGATCATGGCCCCATACCCCGTGTCATCCTTCGTCACCAAACACTCTGCCTCTTTGCTTAAGGAAGCCTTACACTCTTCATGAATGGAGCACGTCATATTCCACGCTTTCCTCTCATAGCAGGACCCCAGGGGTTCGTAGTAGCGGACATTGTCCGGCCCTGGATTCTTGGGGTCGTAACATTCACACTTTTTCGTGTCTGGATTGCAATGCGACAGGTTCCCCATCGGACCGGCGAAACATTGTTGGGACGATTTGCAATCGAAGGTCAGACCCTTGTCGGCAATCTATTTAACGATAATTAGTACATCATGGTTTAAGTTGTGTTTTAAAAATTTATGTATTCAGCGCTACGTTTGCATGTGCAATTTGCGCCCATGTTGTGTCGTAAATTATGAAAGTAAACAAAAATAGCCAAGTGAAAATCTCATCAAAATTCTAACTTGCGCCCATGCTATGGCTCAACTGTGGCGTAAACTACTAAAAAATCAAGTACAACGGGAACCTTTCTTGAATTTGAGGTAAAAATCTCATCAATATTTACATTCCACTTCTCATTCTATTTATATCCTACTGAAGGCGCTTTTACTGCCAATCTGCGCCCATGGCTCAACTATGTCGCAAATTAAAAAAAATCAAATTGAATTGAACCACCAAAATTTAGTAAAATTGGGGTCAAAAATCTCATCCAAATTCCCGAAATTCCCGAAATTCCAGCGCAAAAATTACCATGAAACAACTACATACACAAGTTGAAGGAATTTAAATCTGGCAAAAAATATACTATTTAAACATTCAAAATAATTCAACTATGGCGCAAATTACTAGCAAAAAAATCGCAAATTTACTCCAAAAAATATATAAAATTCTTAAAAATCTGGTCTAACATCCTACTCAATCTGCGCCCCTGTTATGACTCAACCATGGCGCAAATTACCAATAGCAAAACACAACTTTTCTATAAAAAAAGTCTATGAAATTCTTAAAAATCTCGTTAAAATTCTATTCCTATGTAATCTTCGCCCTTGTTACGACTCAACCATGGCGCAAATTACCACCCCAAAATTCTCACCTTTAAACACTCCGACAACAAATTATCCCACACGTATCCCTTCTTACACTGGCAAATTTCCGACCCATTCGTCCACCCTGACTCGGTCGGTGGGGGACTACAGTACGAATTATGCTTCATCGTCGTCTCACATTCGGCATCAGCTTCACACGTCTCGCCCACCTTCCTTTTAACGACGCAAATCTGATTGTGCAGGACGACCTCCCTCCAGCCCAGGTCGTGATCGTAACATTCGCAACTTCCCTTCTGATGATTACACCTGCTCAGCCGGCCGGAAGGTCCGTTTTGGCACTGCTCGTGAAATTCGCACCGTTGGCCCTCCACCCTTCGGGTCGGGTAGCATTTTTCCTGACTTCGGACATACACGTGACCATCTAAGCACGTGCACCTCCATGGTTTCGCCTTGCTCTGGTCACATTTCAAGTTCCGGTCGGTATTACACGCTTTGGAGTCGCAGGTTTCATTATAGTTGGCCACGTTTCCCCCGGAAAAGCCGGATTTCGGGTCGCTGTTTGCTGCCGCTGGGGCTGCGGGGGGTTGTTGATTCACGTGACCAGAGTGGTCGTGACTACCACTTCCACTTCCGCCGAGGGTACGTTCGTCAATTTTCTTTGGTGGGGGTGCATCGTCGTCTTCTTCTTCGGTGTCACTTTTGAAGAAATCGTCATCGTCGTCCTTGCTGAAGAAGTCGTCGTCGTCCGGAGAGGTGACGGTGGTAGGGTGCGCTCTGGCGGAGACGTGCAGGGCGAAATTTAAGGCTAAAAGGAGCCCAAGAAGTGCGAATTTTTTCATTTTTTGCGCAGAATTATGCGGAATTATGCGGTGAATCGTGGCAAATGTACGTATGCCGGGGTGTGGTGATGTGGAATGATTATAACGAGGTTAAATTTAAATTATGTGCTTGTTTGTTGGTTAAAAAATCCTGCTGATAAGAGCGACAAAGGTTCAGTGATAAGTGGAATATAACAGACTCAACTCAGCCCATTTTTATGTTTCTCTTTAAACAAACAGGAGATGGATGGATGAGATCAGATGACTCGACGCGTCATATGGATGAATGAATTTATGTATTTATGCAGTCAGTCATTTAACCAGAAATATTAGGGAGAATATTCAACCAGGTAGATTTACTCGGATGACCAACATTTCTACCTTATCTGCACCACTATCCTTATCACCACCACCACCGGGACAGGAAGGACACTTCTGTCTGATTCATACGGACTGACAGATATTTGCAAATTGTGCTTTATGAGCATTATGTCATTCTCTCCGTCGGAGCCGTTTGCCTTGGAAAGAGCCAGATAATATGAGTAATTATCAAAATAATGTAATGTTTCCAGCTTATCATCATAGTTGCGAATTATTTAGGCACAGATTTTTAGTATGTAAGTGTTTCATGCGAAACGGGTGCAACTAAATGCAGGGACAGATTTGCAATGCAATTATTTATTGCGATAAATGCAAGTATTTATTCCGTCAAAAGAAATACATGTGTAATTACACTTTCAATTACTTTTATCGGAACCAAATTAATGATGAGTTTGATCAATATTTTAAATACTTCAGTTGAAACCATGATCAGATTCCACAACGCTCACTATTATGCAATGTTGCATGATAATGAACAAGGTACAAATCTTTGATTAGGAATAATGAAAAGGTGAATCGTATGTATTTATAATTTTAAACGAAATTTTCATGTTACATATTTAAAAATGTAAAAGTTTAACGACAAAATAGTAAAATCAATATTGCATATAATTTTTGAAAATAATAAATTTTGCTCGAAAAAAAAATATTTGACTTGTAAGTCCAACAATGATTTTTACGACTTGCTCGTAAACTTCTTATTTTTAATCGTTTACTAAATTGTTAGTGTTAAAGTGGAAATTTATGAATTTCCAGTTTTGGTAAAATTATTTTCGTAAACTCTACAATTATTATATTGAAAAATGCATACATATAAATAGGGTTGCCCCGGGTAGTGGTACTACCCGGTACCCAGCTACCCGGTACTCGGCCTAAAAATTTTGCCGGGTACCCGGCTACCCGGCCGGGTACCGGGTAATATTTATGTATTCAAAATAATGGGAATTTTTCTACTTTTTCTAGAATTTGCAACAATTTTATATCTTTTAAAAATTACACATTAAATTTCTGCAGTGCAGACTTCATTTCTAACCTCCATACCAAATTTCGGATGAAATATTTTGTAAAAATTGGTATGGGTCCCCTTATCTATGGTAACGCTTTGCTCCCCCAATCCAACGACCCCCACAGGTCAACTTGGTGACCGATGTAGCCTACTTTTGAACTTTTTTCCTATATCTTTGTCCAATATGCATATGCTAAGAATTTCAACTACTCAGGTTAATGATTCGGACTAGAAAGTGGATATTACACAAATGAAAGAATCACGCGGGGCACACAAAGATCGTACCCACGACAATGTCTTATCGCAATCATTTAGCAACTTTCTTAGGCTTAAAAATGTTATTTCTTGAGGGGATTCGAATCAGGTCACAAAAGAAATCTTGCGAGTCTTTCTGGGTGATATCCTTTGATCTATTTGTCATGAATGTTCGCAATATCTCTCGCTGATGATCGCCAGTGATGAGCCTGCGAAATACATAATCTTACGAAAAAATGATGGCTTTTTAGCCAAAGCTTTGAAATCTTATGCAAGTTATGCTTAATGTGCGAGATATGCAAATTGACTGATTGATAATTGGTTGACGTAACTGCGCTCAAAGTAATTTAAAAATGTGGATGATAATTTCCAAACAAGCGTTGGCCAAGATTGTACCCATTCTTTCCAAATATATTATTTTATACCAAGCACAAAAAGAAATTCATCGGATTATATTTTTGTTAGGTTTTTCATTTTAAATGAGAAAATTTAATATTTAAATTACCCGGCCGGGTATACCGGGTACTTAAGTATACCCGGCCGGGTACCGGGTATCCCAAAACAGGCCGGGTATGCCGGGTACCGGGTAGTTACCCGGTACCCGGGGCAACCCTACATATAAATAAAAAATGACTTATTTGTATAATTCTTTTATATTTCACCACACATTTCTGCAAAACCATTACGAGTTTTCTTTAACTTGACGAAACTTCAATCTGCATGAATTACCAACTATTTGAATATTTGTTTAAACTACATTTTTTGGTCCTCCTAAAATTCGCAGAAATTTTGAACCTAGCAAAAATAATTCCTTAACTCTAATCATTTTGATTGAGCTAAATGCATTTTTTTGGTCCTCCTAAATTCTCAGATCTCTATTTTTTATGCTTCCTCAACTCGAATCCATGCAAAATTACGTTGTAAAAAATACAAAATTTCATCCTCTTACCTTTAAATTTGAAGGAGTTGAGAAGATTATCGAATTAGCTGGACCGGGAAGGAAGATGTCTAATTTTCAAAGACAAAGATTACAAAGTACTCTCAAAAAGTAACAAATTTACGAAGCAAAGACCACAAACTCAAATAAAACAAATTCCTTGACTCAAATCGATGCAAAATTATGCAAAACAGATACAAAATTGCATTCTCTTACCTATAAATTTGAAAAAGGACTTAAGAAGATCTTAAACTTGACGAATTATGGGGAAGGAAGGTATCTAATTTTCAAACACGAAGGTTACAAAGTAAGGAATTTATGAAGCAAAGCACACCCAGACGAAAATTCACTTACTCCAAAAAACTTAATGACGCCTCGCCCCAGGTTTGCCCTCATATTTATACGCGTCCTTCAACCTCCTCCGTCTGGCCGAATGTCGTCAGCAAATCGTCCCCACGACAAAATACAAGACAAGAACAAGATCGGGATCAATCATAAGGTCAATTATTTCCCTTACTCTTACATATTCACCCGAATTTATTTCCATCCCAAAGTGACTTCCCACCGAGAACCGGGCAATTGTCCAGCTTATCCACATTTCGCATATCCTAATCCTAAGAAAACCCACTTCAACCTGCAGTGGCCGCGGAAGCGTGGGGACAGAGGGACAATGTTCCCATGTTCCCATGTTGTATACACCCCTGGCTCCACTATTTTATAATGACAATGTCCCCACGGCTTCCGCGGCCACTGCCAAGTGGTGAGAGAAAGAAACAAGTCTTGGCAAATTAGTGGGGCACCGTGTAATTTACCAAATTAATTAACTACTTGAGTCGTCGGACTCAAGTTTGTGTCAATCATTCTCATTCACGCGGAGCTCATGGAGAGCGAGACGAGAGGACATCATGCCGTCGGGTTTTCGGGGGGTGAAGAGTGCTCTTGAAGGACAAAAGAGAGCTAATTGTTAATTGGGCCAGCTAAGGAGAGAGAGAGAGAGAGAGAGACCACACTCTTAAAAACACAGTGTTAATCATACATGTTCACATTAATTCATTTAATGATGAATGAATAAATTATTCATTCAATATTCAATATTTTGAATGAATATTGAATGAATATTTTATTCTGATTTTTGAATAAATGAATATTGATTGAATATCTATTCAATCAATATTCGTGTGAATGAATAATGAATGCATATTTTTTTCATCATTCATTTTTAAATTAATGCTTAACACATAAGGAAAGTTGAGAAATTCATCTAATACTGTGAATTTTGAATAACATGAATAATGAACGAATGGTGAATAATTAATGAATGTTTTTTTTACAAATTATGAATGAGTGAATAAGGAATGAATATTTTTTTCAAGGCTTTGAATGAATAAATTTTGAATGAATAAATATTTTTTGAGCATTTATGGTGTTAATATCGTCACCGAACGGATATTGTGCATATTATGTGACTTCATCGCCATGTCAAAATTTGGATTTCGTAAAATTTTTAGAATTTTTAGAATGCAAAAATTTCGCCGGATTGCAGAAATTTTACGAAATTTAGTCACACGAAATATATGGTTTCATGAAAAGAACATATCTTGAATTAAATCATTGCTTTAATTACCTTAAAAAAATTTGATTTTTGGCTTTTTAACCATACCAATTTTTAAAAAAATATGTAATTTCCTTCCATAATTTTTGACGAATGATATTTTGAGCATTAAATAAATAAAATTGTCCGAAAATTCATATTTGTAAATAATTATTGAATATTTCGTTAAATTCCATAATTTTTTGATCCATCTAATATTCTATATTTCAATTGTCAGAATTTATGTAAACACATAATTTTGAAAATTGTACGGTTAAAAAGTCGGAAATAAAATTTTGTCTAAAATAATAACGCAATTGTTTAATTAAAGATGTACACGGTGGAGTGAAAAATTTCGGTTACATTACACATTTCAGAAAATTGTATTTACTTAATTCTATATTTTCTATTTCACAATATTTTAAGAATTTAAGCTAAAAATTTGGACAGGTTGGCAGATTCCAGAATTTAAACTTTAAAAATTTTACGAAATCCAATCGCCAGTTTTAGGCCTTTTAAGATGGCCTTATAGATTTGTCAGGATGTCTGTCTGTCCGTCCGTCTGTCCGTCTGTAGGCACGATAACTCTCTTTAAACAAAAGCTATCGACTTGAAATTTTGTATACTTCATGTTCGGGCAAAAAGTAAGGTTGAGTTCGGAGATGGGCATGATCGGTCAAGTGGTTGACTGGTGGGGGTCATTGGAGTGCGTGGGGTATTGTGCACCAAAATTTCAAAATTGTCGTAGAAAGCTGAAATTTGGTACAGACGTTGATAATAGTTTCTAATGAAAGAATTGAAAGTAAAATTTTGTAAATAAGTTAGTTAGGTTAGTTAGGTTAGGTTAGTAAAATAAAAGAGTATGAATTGAAATTAGACACATTTTCATCTGGACAGACCCAATGGGGTGACCTATACCTATTTTTCAAAATCGTCATATAGAGCTGAAATTTGGCATGGAAGTTACTTATTGGTCCAAATTGAAGAATATGAATTGAAATTTGACAATTTTTTATCTGGAGTGACCCTATGGGGTGACCCATACCAATTTTTCAAATTCATTAAATCAAGCCGAAAATTGGTAGAGATGTTGGTAATGGATCATAATGGAACAATATGAGTTAAAATAGGAACAATTTTCATCTGGAGGACCTATTGGGTGCCCATACGGATTTTTTAAATCGTCGTATCAAGTTGAAATTTGCTACATATGCTGTTAATTGATACTAATTATAAGAATATCCACAACTTGGCCTGACTTGGGCTATATCAAGTCTGCCCTGTAGGTTTAAATTGTCTTACGTTCATTTACGATAAAATTTCATGCTACCATGAGAAGTCATTAAGTATCACCGTGCCGAAATTTAGATTCTTACGGCAATTTCTGAAAATCGGTATGGGTCACCCCTTCGGGTGAAAAATTTTCCAATTTCACTTCATATTCTTCCATTATCACGCTACATGTCAAATTTCAGCTTTCTATCACAATTTTACATAAGCCCTGGTTGGGGCTAAAAATTATATGTAAATCGTTCATTATAGTCTGGCTTTTAGGTATTAATGCTATCTTAAAAGGCCCCGCAAAGTTGCTTGGAGTAGGTTATTTCTTTTTGTGCACACAAAATAATTTGCATGTGTATGGTTATGGTACTTAAAAGAGCATAAAAACATAAAAAATGCACAAAAATGGATAAAAATCAATAAAAGCGATTTATACATGGAATTTATCATATTTTTAAGAAATTTAGTACTATCCACTGAGGATAGGATTCAGTTATCTAAACTTATGAAAAATTTAAAAATTGAGACCCTAAAATACTAAAATGACAAGACAAATACGCTAAAATAATACAATGATTTAAAAAAAAATTTAATTTTCAAAATGTATATATGCAAATGGCAATGCTGCCATATATTTAGAACTTGCATGATTTTTATGAATTTTCATGTCTCTCACCTAATCTAATGGTGATAAAATTAATACCAACCAGTCCCAATTTTTCACCACGTGGGCAAGAGATTGATCACCACGTGGTGAAAAACAGTATCACTATTTGGTGAAGTCACACCGTTTATTTAAGAGTGCACAATTCCTGCCGCATTTCAAGAAATAGATCTCCTCATCATGGTCAACTTATCAATGTCTTATCCACGTCACAATGGACAATACTCCAGATTTGGATCATCATTTGCATGTACACAGTCTTCTCTCGGAATCCAGTCGTCGCATTAAGCCTCCCACACACTTCGAAAATACTTAATCACTAATTAATTAACATTACGTGGAGAGCGACCACTTGACGTCAATCTTGAAATAGAGTTTGTTAAGCCGTGGTATTTATTTGTTTACTACTACGCATTTCATGATTTCATGGAAATTTCTGTACTAAATATTTCCACGTGGCGAAACAACAACGTGCAAAATGGGTCAGGTCAAGTGATCATGTCAAATGTCATAAACAGACAAATTAGGTAACGATCTCCACGTGGCAAGAATTAAGGTTTACACGGGTGTGTTTTACACCTAAAAATAGATTTCGTAGGATTTTAGAATCCCTAAAATTTGAATTTTCATAATTCCATGGGAATTTCTCCTCTAAATATTTACGCGTGGCGAAACAACAATGTGCCAAATGGGTCAGGTCAAGTGATCATGTAAAGTGTCATAAACAGACTAATTAGGTAATGATCTCCACGTGGCAAGAATTTAGCTTTACACGGGTGTGTTTTACCCCTAAAAATAGGTTTCGTAGGATTTTAACATCCCTAAAATTTGTATTTTCATAATTTCACCACAATTGCGTGATTTCATGGAAATTTCTCCTCTAAATATTTACACGTGGAAAAACAATGTGTAAAATGGATCAGGTCAAATGATCATATCAAATGTCATAAACAGACTAATTCAACTCTTGTTAGGTAACGATCTCCACGTGGCAAGAATTAAGGTTTACACGAGTGATGGGTGTGTTTTACACCTAAAAATAGGTTTCGTAGGATTTTAACATCCCTAAAATTTGTATTTTCATAACTTAACCACAATTTCGTGATTTCATGGGAATTTCTCGGCTAACACGTGGCAAAACGACGTGAATTTCTATCCTGAACTATTATTTACACGTGCCAAACCACATTTAATGGGTCAGGTCAAGTGGTGGTATCAAATGTCATAAACAGACTAATTCAATTCCATTCTTGTTAGATAACTACCTCCACGTGGCAAGGGATTTAAGGTGTTTTTTACTATTCTCTTAACAATAAGTTTGTAAGGATTTTAAAACCCATAACATTTTAATTTTAATAATTTCATCATATTTACAAATCAATTTTCTCCTTCAAAAAGAAAAAATTAAAAATGGAAAATTTACAATAAATAGTTCCCGTTTTTTTCATCATACAAAATACCATCAACTTCAGATCCGAAAAAGCAGCAGCTCTCACTCTCTCCCATCTATCCGACTACCCGGGTTTTTCACCAAATCCGATACTTCGGGGAAGATAAAAACAAGTTGACCCTTCTCGTAAAAGAGGGTGATACTTACATACTTCATCCTTCTCGATCTATCTACGTAATCGCGTAAATTTTAGACTGATTTTTTTGTCAAATTTCGACGCCAAATTTTCATAATTGAAAAATGCTAGAAGTCAACTTTTGACAAATTAGGTGTCCAGGCTTTTTCCTTATTCATATATTTCAAATATTGCATAATTTCAACCACTGGCCGCAATTATTTTTTGTCCCGTTTCGACGCCAAATTTTCATAAGTAAAAAAATACTACA